AGCCATTATCTGGCAAACTTGCAGTCTTTATTATATTCACGAATGATAAAGCAGTTGTAGGAAGACAAGATTTTTTTTCTGGCTTTATTGCAAAGGGATTTAAAGCTTAAGCACAAGGCGAGTCGCTCTCTTCTTATTTTATTATTATTATTTTTTACCTCGTTCCATTAAGATCCATCTTTTCACCCAAAGATTTCAGTTTTATTATATGATGTAAGTCAATCCTTAGCTGGAAAAGATTGGACTGGCTCCTTTATAAATGATGCAAGCCGAAAGCGCTAATTTTGTTATCACTGAATGATGTTAGTCCAGATGGATGGCTCATGCTTGAGGCAGAAGCCAATGAATACTTCAAAATACGTAAGTGAAAATGTGCAGGCCTGTTCCTGCAGATATTACATTTTGATATGAAAAATACATGCCTCCTTGAAGACATATTCACGTGAATATTGTTGTTCACATTATTGAGAAATAGGCTGGCCGTTCCCCCAGCTATTGGATTGCTAATGTCCGATGATGTGCCTGCCTGCGCTCCTTATTTTGGTTCATTTGTCCTCCTAAATTGGACGCTTCTAGCTGCGATCCAGACACGAAATGCACAGCCACTTTAAGCAGGCCATTATAAAACAAATAACCTAGATGGTGTGAATAATGACATTAGGCGCCCTGTTAGGAATAAAACTGCAGTATTCAAATGATGACCTCATTGCGCATAACAAATATGTCAGCGGTAAAAGGTCAGTGGCTTTGTCATTGAATCGCTGTCATAAATTATTTCCGGTCTTTAGTCTGTTGTGTCCTGTCTTTACTTGGAGCTTTTCCATCCTATCAGGCAGTGCTGCTGATAAACCGACAGGATTACAGACGTGCTTCTCTCGCTCGGAGACGATTAACTCAGGCTGGGCTCCTCTGGGAGAGGAACCAGAGCCACTCTGGCCTCTGGGAAACACTTCAGATAAGTTAGACTAAGGAGAGGAAGAGGATGGTTGATTTGGAGGATTAGGATGAATCCTCTCTGATTTACTTCTGTATAAAAATAAATAAATAAACTGACTAAAAGTCAACTTTAAAGCCACTAAGAGCTCTTTCACAAAGCCGTTTTCCCAAACTACGGCTTTATTTATTACATGCAGCATTTAACCATTTTTTAATCAGTTTTGCTTGCTGTAGTTGTACACAGCCACGCTCAAGAAGGAGATGGGGGAAAGCAAGCAGATATCGCCACCTAGTGTAAGATTCTTGAACTGAATTTAATTTTGAGTCAGTTTTAAGAAATATGATCACAGATGATTCTTCTAAAACAAACACCATATAAAGTATTCAGTTAGAAAACACGCCTCTGATGAATAAATGAGTCAACACATGAACATGACTTGGCTGTATGACATAATGAAAAACAGCTTCGGACAAAATAAAATAACAACAACAAACAAAAAAAAGACTTTAAACTGCATTTTATTAAGGCATCATCTTGAGAGCAAATTCACAGTGCTAGTAATGATTACTGCATCATCAAAGTAATAAATACCACCCAAGAAGGGACACACAAAAAAAACAAAAAAAACAGTCCTAATAAAAACAACTGGACGTCTGCGAAACCTGAGAGTGATGCAGGATACTCCTGCGCGTCCGGTCCAGCCATGTGCCGGGACATCAAACGGTGTAGTCCAGCTCGGCATTTAGATTTGTGTACATCTCATAGATGGCATCTATAGTGGCTGTGTAATTAACCAGGAACTGACGCATGTTTGCCAGACAGTCCTCCTCTTTCACTTCCTCTCCTTTCGACAGAGCCTTCAGAAAGTTTGATCTGTAGGGAGCTGCAAGTAACGCAGCCTATGAAACAAAAACGAAAAAAGATGGAGAAGCTGGTTTTACTGAAAGGTTAAATGGATTTTAATGAAAACTATGAAGATGGGTGTATGTATGCAACATTATATAGCATGTAATGAAAGTGCTTTGCTGTGGATTGTCTTTTGATGTAATCTATTAACCCAGGACCAAAAGCCTTATCAGCTCAGGAGACAATATTGATAAGATTATGTTGGCACAAATGCCATTATTGAGCCTGCTTATGAGTCTCATTGTTTATCCTTTATTGATCCCTAATCAATTTTCTGTGTAGAAGAATAGACCCATGCACCCATTTTATCTGAATCTCCACACAATGTCAGAACAGCATAGAGGGGGGGGCTGCAAGTAAGGTGACCACAGTGTAACAACAACTTGTGGGGCAAAGAGTGTTTGTGTGGGACACATTACACACATTTTGACATTGCCAAACTAAATAAACACTCAAAGGTTTGTAGGTTACGGGTTTGGCAACAGCTGTATTTTATTTGAATGCCACTTTCTTAACTACCTTGCAAAGTACATGCAATAAAAAGCCAAAGGAGGTTAGAGGAAGTGGAAAGTTGATCTAATATTTGTATACTTCTGTGTTCCCTGTACTTCTACTGTATCACCTATACCAGGGGTGTCAAACATAAGGCATGGCGGTCAGAAATTACCTAAAGTTGTTTTTTTTTGTTTTTTTAAATTGCAGTGCAAAGTCCAATTCACCACCTGTCAGTGCTTTTTTTAAAATTATGCATTTATTTCTTTCAGTGTACGCCCCAAAAGCTTTGCAGACGGATTTTTCAATTCTTTATCATTTAAAAAACTGAGGCATTTTGTTAAAACATACGTACGATCCCACCCAGTTTAGAGACCGCTTGTGAACAAGGGCACATTGGACGGCTTTGGAAATGTAAATGAGGGCGTGGATTTTAAACTTTAACTCAGTTTGACAGATTTTCCTAATGATAAAGACCTCTACCATGGCCATTCATGTTATGCAAAAGTAATTAAGTAATAGATACAATGAAATGACAGAAGGTTACACTATCTACTATGGAAATGTATGATTTTACTGTGGGTCTACAATAAAAACAAAACAAGGTAATTTTCTGTCGATTCTCAGGTTTATAATTACAGAGCAGTCTGGGCAATGAGCTAACTGAACTTTTTCTGTAATTCTACACATTTATTTATTAAAATTTGAGCCCAGGGTGTCATGCTGACAGACGTCTGTCATGTACTACAGCAGCAATTCTCCATCACGTAGAAAAATTTCGACTTCCTATTGAAATTGTTCTACTTTTCCCTCATATCAAAACATCTCATGGATTAAGCATGTAAATCACAAAGGGCTGTATGTGGCCCACAATGTAGACTGAATTTGACATCCCTTCTTATACCAATAAGTTAAAAATGTTACATGAGACTTCAGCCATATTCTCATAGTTGCTAACATCCTCTGTTAGACGTAGTTTCCCCAACTGCATTTCCTTTTTTTTGTGGTAGGTTCCATCACCTCCACAGCTTAACTGCAATTTTTCCCTCTTGATGTCGTGCTGGCGACAAGATTTGGGACACTTGCAAAATGTGGGACTACAACATAGGGATGGGCTCAAGAGACAAAAATGCTGTGCAGCCTCATAAGGTGAGGCCCCTAAGGTTACAACGCTTCAAAGTGAAACGCAGTTGTAATGAATCTGAAAGCATTTTTATGCAGTGTAGAGAAAAACACGCCAGCATGAGGCGATTGCAGTGGACTGCACAATCTGAAACCAGTTCTCGATTCTTATCAGTCTGGGTGCGGTTGGGGTGGTCTGTGTTGTGTCACAACAAGAAACAATGAATTTCTTCCACATGTTACTCACATTAAAAATCTTTTGAACAATCCAGCCGTGGTATCGCTTCAGTGCCTGCTCATAGGCTTTTGTGATATTAACCCGAATGAGGTTGGGGTTGTTCTCATCTCTGTCCCCGTCTGCCAAACTCTGGAGCAGAATCTGGATGAAACGGAGACCCCTGCAGGAGAAACGGAGTACATAAAGGCTTTCATTTCACTAGACGAAAGTTGAACAGACAGTATGACACAACTTTGAGTTCAGGAGGTCCTTACCTCTTCAGCCACATCAGAGCTAACGTTGCTCCAATTTTAGGCCACTCTGCTCCATGAGCCTCTCGCTCTGCCACCACAATGTCCTCCAGGGTGGTGTACTTTGCGGGATTAGTGACATATACCGCTCTAATTTTCTGAAAATGCACATTTGAGTTCAGTTTGCATGTCGGAGCTGAACCTATCTCTAATTTAAATCGCTTACAGTAACACAAATAGATATGCCCGCCTGCATCTTACCGTTATATTGCCGTTAATGTCCGATTTGATGATTGAAAACACTTTTGATCCTAAGCAGTCTGGAAAAGAAACGAGACATTTGAGAGCAGGGCCAATAAAATATGAATGAGTTGACATGTCCCCGGCTCAGAGGAGGGGATGAATGCCAATCAGCTGTTTACAAAGAGAGAGCTAAAAAAAATGCCGTGAATGCACAGTTTCAGTTAAGTCACAATGAGGGCAATGTGTGCTCTGTTCACAGAGTCAACAAAGAGTTTCTCTATAGGCCAAACGGCCGCAGCTGGTTGACATGGTCCCCGTGACCCGACACCTCAATTTCTGAAGTGAAATAACCACGTCCCGACGTGAAAACCAAGCTCAGGTGGTCAGACGACGTAAAATTAAAAAAAAAAAAAAAAAAATTCAGCCAAGTACGAAGGCTGACACCGTAGCGACGCGAGGGAACTCGCAAAGTCACCTTACGTGTTTTTGTATGACTTCAGATGGAGTTGCACTCACCAAAAAACGCAGGGATATGAGAGACGGTGTCCAGGAATGTCTTCGTGTCGATCGCCTTGTCAGGGGGCAGTTCACAGAACTGATTTTCCATTAAAAGCGACATGATCCTTCCTTATGAGCTTGGCGAGCTTGGAGAAGAGCAACGGCAGCGAGCAGCTCTCGGCTGAGAAAAACCCGGAACTATGTTCTTATGATGGGTGGGGAAGCGCAACCGGCCACTTTCGCTCTTCACCAACAGGTGGGAAATAATTCACGAGCCTGGTGAAAACACGCGGTATGTCCACAACACACACACAAATAAGACGAGGAGAAAAGATGAGGTATGAATGACTTTATTATACCTAAGGCAGGGATTGATTTGAACCACAGATAGGGCAGGCTCCAAGTTACAGGGAGTTAAATGACGGTTTTGACTCCAGGGTGGAAGTAACTGAATACGTGCATTATAACATTATAAAGTCAGTAGTTTATGTGCTTTTAAAAAAAATGGCAGTCTAAAAAGTATTTATATGCTACTTAAATTGCTTTGCGTTACATTTTGTTCACAGAGGTACTATGGCTGGTTTTTAGGAGATGAATGGCAGTGGTATTTATTTTCTAAGACAGCCTTCGTAGGTTTGCTGTAACCACCTTTACATAATGCTCTACTACCAGACCAGGTAAGATCAGACCATGCTATTCAGTAAAACCTAGCCTTCCTTTAAGACAAAGGTTTACAACATAGGGTACAGAGGCCAGACCAGCCCACCAAAGGGTCCAATTGAGTCCAGGAAGGCAAAAAAATTCAAACTTTTAACAGTATTTTTTATACGTTTTAAAGCTTTATTTCTAACACTGATATCATTCGTGGCCTGCCAAGCTACACTAAGTAATACGAAAACTTTTTTTTTTAAATATTTAGTATCCCATTAAATAACAGTTTAATGGAATAACATTCCCCACTTTTACAGTCCTTACTAAAACTGGCACATTTTCTGGAAATGAGTCTGGATAATGAGCCGTCAGTGCTTCTTTAATTATGCATTTATTTCTTAAAGTGTAAGACCAGAGAACAGTTTTGCTGATGGGTTTCAGTTCTTTATAATGTAGAAAAATGGACACGTACTGTTAAAACAAAAAAAACAAAACAAAAAACCAGTATGCAGACTTAGACAAATAGTTTAATATTCTGTCAAAAACACACCTAAGAAGACTTAAGCAACTAACCAGAAGTGAACAGTATACTCATGTGCACTGAAGACGTTTTAAGGATACTTCTAAATGTCTTTTTAATCCTCACCCAGCCACCTAAGAAAGCAGTTTTAGATAGAAATGAACGTGCATGTTCATACTGCTGTGGTTACAGTTAAACAGGCGCTTTAGATTTTCTTTAACGCATTCTAACAGGTAGTCCTCTTTAAGGAAATTGAGCAGTGATAAATTAATCTGCTTTTTTCTTTATCTAGCACCAATTACATTACACTTTAAATTGCACAGTAAGGACCCTGCAATAAGAGCACAACCCTGCCGTCCACTTGTCGTGCAGCGTATTCCAGTTTTCCTTCCACCCCTGGTTCAAACACATCTGGCTCACAGTGAGTGTCACATTAGACCCGTGTTCTACAACAACTATTCTAGAACTGAGGGTACAATTACATTATCATTGGCTCTAAGCCGTAGGCGGTACATACTCGACCACATGAAGCGTCTAAAATACTGGAGTTAAAACACCACACTAAAATAAACAGACCACACGTTTCCTATAACTAACTGCCGGCTGAGACGTCCCAGACCTCAGAACAAAAACGTTAGCCTGCGCCGAGCATCGTGTTAAACCAAAGCTTATGAAAATAAACATTGATATTTTCTTAGAGGTATGACATACAGTTTATAAATAGAATAGCATTTGGATTATTCTGATAAAGAATTACATGGATACATACATCTCACATATTTGCATAACGCTAGTAAAATTGATTCAAAATGGATTTCACACAGGCCACTGAGGCCAACGCTCACACACACACACACACACACACACACACGCTCACACACACACACACACACACACACACACACGCACACACACACACACACACACACACACACACACACACAGAACATCTTAAGTATGGCTGTAACATTATAACTCAAAAAAGAAAAAGAAAAAACCCCAAAAAACTATTGATACTTTACTTATAAACATTGTTTCAACCCGCAGATGGACTGAAACTGCTGGAGTTGCTGGATGGGCTGAAAGTCTGGACACTCACACGGTGCTCGATACACTGAAGCTGCTTTTATAATCACAGTTGGCTTACTGAACAAACAATTGAACTTTAAGCAAGCAACACCACAATGATTCAAGAACAATGAACACTGTAACTGCCTCTTAAAGAAAAACAAACATTGTGATTGGAGTAGCTCATCTGTTCTGATCATTGCTGCTAGGTAAGACATGATCGTCTATGAGTACCAGAAAGCGGACCTCAGTGAGCACAGCTAATGACTGATGGTGTCCTCTAGAAGGAAACGGATAATGCAAAAAACTGTTTGTTCTAATTGCTTTTATATACACAGGCAACACTGCACTTCTGGAAACTGAATAGATTCAATCTGTGAGGTAAAGAACAAGTATTCCCCCCCCCCCCTGTATATATACACACTTTTTATTACCATGGTATAAAAACAAAATAAATAAAGCTTTTGATTGAGCTATGATTTTGCATGTTATATTTTTTTCTCCACCTCTAGGAATGTACACAAAAGCTTACACTGATTAATATGGGGGGGGAAGGGAAACCATTGATTAACATCATTTATATGCTGTATGTTTGGCGCATTGGGAGTGTCTTTGGAGTTTAATTAGTTGTTGTTTTCTTTGGTTGTCACAGTAACAAGTTGTTTGGCAGCTTTGGCTATGTCATAGGCGCACTGAATGACCTGCTGAGTGACCAGCTGGATGTCTGACGGGCTGAGGTTGTGTTCTGCAGCCTTCTGGCACTCTCTGTGGAGCCGGCTAGCGCTTGAAGTCAGCAGACACAGAGACCCTCGCACTGTCTCTGAGGACGGCCTCTGAAGGGAGGAGGGAAGGAGATTTGATAAGGCGAGGACATGAAAGCGTTCGTAATCACTTTATGTGCTAGGCAGGCACTGGATTTCTATGAGACTACAACAAGGTAAATATTGAGATGGTAAAACAAGATCCAATACAAGCTATGTAACAAGCAGGTGCCACCTATCTGGACAAATAATTTTAAGCTGCTTTCACACATCCAGCCAAGCTATGAGAACAAAATGTCAGATCTGGTTCGATCAGACATTAAGCACTCTTTACTCTGTTGGGTCTCTATTACAAAGTCCGTCTGATGTGAGAATATAGCGAGTTTCACTCAAGCAACACCCTCAAAGAGTATTTGGCTTAATAAAGATTATATCCTGTTGCGTGCTACGTGTGATAAAGTGCCGCTTCTGACAATGTCCCAACCTTATTCTCCTGACATTTTCAGGAGTTCATGTGTGGAAACAACTGCCTTCAGCTGTTGTCAGACAAAGCAAATTGTTCCATTGGACACTGAGCTGCTCATCTTACCTTGGGAAACAGGGCAGCCATCTCTGTCACAGCCATGCAGATTTTTTCAGAGCAAGGCAGAAAGCTGCAGTAGGAGGAGACAAGAAGGATGAATGGGTGAAATTTTTTTCCACAAACCTTTCTCAAAACGATCAAAAAGAGCAACGGGGTGTAATAGTGTTTGGCTATTTAGGATTTCATTCAACTGTTTTCAAAGTTGTACAGTAAATAAATAAAGAATAAGCGATCATTTAAAAACAATACTTGGCACCTTTCTGTTCTATGAAAGCAGTGAATGGCATTTCTGGGCAGGGCCACACCACGAAGGACATTTATTTAACACTATTTTAAAATCTGCTGCCTTGATCAGCAGCACGTCTTAAAAATGTGAACAGACCGAAACAGTCGATGTATGTAATTTATCTTTTAAAGCCATTTGAATGAAACGCATTTTTCAATAATCGAATCAAATTTTTTTATGTCACTCAAATGTGTACACACATATACAGTCTGATTGTTGTGCACCCACATGACTAACGTAGGCAGTGCTAACATGCTAGCACCAGCAGCCTGTCCTTGTTTGTTTACACACTGCTTCAGTTGAGAGGTTGTATGCCAGTTTAGTCGAGCAGAATCTGGTTCACACGGCTGTTGTGCGTTATACTTTCCACCGTTCTTATTTACAACTTCCCATCCCAGAGAGACAATGGCTCTAGTTCATTAATAAAATATGAACTATTATTTTAGTACCAGCTAGTGTTTCTAGAAGCGACACGGAAGTTCAGCAGCATTTAACCATGTAGCTGCTCATATCCCTGGAGCTAGATGGGAAACATTGTTAATCTCAAGATATTTACACAAAAGAAAAAGGGGGACAATGTAAGCAATAACCTACAAAAAGGAAAACGGGTAGCAGTGTGGAACAGTTTAAAAAAAAAAAACAAAAAAAAAACCTACAGTAAAAATAATAAAGAAATTATTAATAAACAAGTAACTACTGTGGACTTGGCAAACCACAGGGGAAAATAAGATCATGTGCTGTTTGTTTCCTGTTAGGTGCATTGACAGACCTAAGACCCACACTCCTTAGACTCACACAGAGGGATCCTAAACAGGGCTGGAAATCAGAGTGCTGCTTGGTTATCACCAATATGTGAGTAACTGTATTCACTCTGCAACTCAGGTGAAAATAAGGAGACTTTTAGTTCCTTAGGATGCAAGCTGGCATCATCCAGGCCAAGGCCCTATACACAACTTTTAAAAAAAACCACTGACCTAAAAGCACCTGGGCAAAGTCAGCTCTTAAACATATCAGGCAGAATGACAGAAATACAAGCACGGAATCTGAGCCAGACGGTGGAAAAACTGAGGTTCACAGTGCATCGGGTGAAAAGATTTTATTTTGAATAGCTAGAAATTTCAGATGTTTTTGAAATATAACTTGGCTCATTTTGTATAAATATCACATTACATGTTATTCATATAACTGCTCAATACCTTTCATGTTTGGTCTCCTGGGCAGCTCTCAGAAGCTCCTGGATGTTCTTAGTGATCTGCTCCGTCTTACAGATGACGTCCTCTGTGCAAGGCAGGGTGGCATCCTCCTCGCCCTCCTCCTGCTGGTGGGCTGCTTCAGAGGCAGCAAGAGGGCTGCTACAAATAAAAACAGAGAACTGACAACTGATCTTCTTACAGGAGTGTTACTTAAAGAACCCACCAAACAATGAATTATACAACAAAGGTGGATCTTTTGAAGAGGATAATGAAATCAAGATGAAAACAAAAAGTATCACACAGAGAGTTGACCTCAAAAGTACCTGTTGGGTGGAGTTTGGATAAAAGAAAAACTCTACTTTGAAAGAAACAGCTTTTTACAGAAACTGGTTGACTTCAGGCTAAAGTCAGGGTCAGGCTTCTAAAAGCTAAAGGACGATAAATTACAGAGGACAATATTCTAAATAACTGATCTGTAGTGAAGCCAGTAGGTGGGTGCAGTGTTTCCCGACAGACTTCGCTTGAACGGTGAAGCTTTTGACTGGTACTACACATCCTGCAATTTAATGCCATTTTTTCATAATTGGTGGGAATAATGCAGTGGCTTTATTAGTGGAAAATCCCCTTGCTCTTATTTTGAAAGTTCAGTTGCTCCTAATCTCCCATTTTCCATTGGGCAGGCTGACCGGGTCGCTGTTGTGGCGGTCCTCAGCTGCCTCTCAAGAGACTAGAACATTTCTTAACAAGTAGTATACCCTTACTTAATTAGATTCACTCCTATTTTTTCTTTAAAATAAGGTTAATCTTATCTAAATTCATAAATGTTAGAATTTGGTTTATATGTCAAAATATTTTTGGGAACTGTATATTATTTCATTGAACCGTGCAGGCAGGCTGAATGGCTCAAAGCCGTTTTTTTTTCCTAAACACCTGTCAAAACTAATCCACATCTGGCTTCCCGTTCTCCATTCCTGTGACCTTTAACTTTGTAAGCTTTGGCTCCATCAATACTGTCATGTCTCGAGACAAGAAACAGGGGGAAAGGCTTATACTTTTTTTTTTCCATAACTTGTTATGCTCCATCACACGCGTCCAAGTACTCCACAGCGTGGCTGGCAAGAAAGGGTATAAAAGAAGAAAAACTAATGACATGGCTTCCTTGTTCACCTGATCTGAACCCCATTGAGAACCTGTGGTTCATCATCAAATGTGAGATTTACAAGGAGGGAAAACAGTACACCTCTCTGAACAGTGTCTGGGAGGCTGTGGTTGCTGCTGCATGCAATGTTGATGGTGAACAGATCACAACACTGACAGAATCCATGGATGGCAGGCTTTTGAGTGTCCTTGCAAAGAAAGGTGGCTATATTGGTCGCTGATTTGTTTTTGTTTTGTTTTTGAATGTCAGAAATGTATATTTGTGAATGTGGAGATGTTATATTGGTTTCACTGGTAAAAATAAATAATTGAAATGGGTATATATTTGTTTTTTGTTAAGTTGCCTAATAATTATGCACAGTAATAGTCACCTGCACACACAGATATCCCCCTAAAATAGCTAAAACTAAAAACAAACTAAAAACTACTTCCAAAAACATTTAGCTTTGATATTAATGAGTTTTTTGGGTTCATTGAGAACATGGTTGTTGTTCAATAATAAAATTAGTCCTCAAAAATACAACTTGCCTAATAATTCTGCACTCCCTGTATTTGTGATCAAAGTGGCCTTCATTTTAAACCTATACAGAGAAAATGGTGTTTTAGTCTTTAAAATCAACAGTTAACAGAAGAAGATCTTACCCACTCTCCTCCATTTCAGAGTGATTGGGTGTAGTGTCATAGTCATTCTCCAGCACTGTACTCTGTCCTTCCAGACTACAGCCCTGTAGGAATGTCAGAGGACAACAGTCAATCAAACACAGTATATACTGTATGTGATTAGTTAGATAAGTTATCACAGCAGCAAATGTGGCCGCACAGAAATTAGAAACATGCAATTCTAAAATCAAACCTGTGATCTCATTATTATTAAGACATCTCACTGTGAAGAGAAAAAAAGGCAGAAACGATACAATCAGTTCATGTGGCGGAGCACAGCTGCACTGCCCAGGATGCGATTAGTAGACGCGAAGCTGTCAACTGTCCTCTGTTTTATCAGAAAGTTATCCCTAAAAAGCACAATGTGGTGATCCGTTATACATCTTTCACATATACTGGATTCAGCTGTCGGATTATTCAAGCAGCCATCTCTGATGCAACATGTCAGCACTTTTGACAATGAGAAGCTGGGGTGCTCAGAAACTGAACTGTAGCAGAGGCACTGCAGTGCATGCATGCAGGCAGGAGATGCTGAGAAAAGGCAGTTTATAGACACAGGTCAGGAGAGAAGACTGTGGGGTCAAAGAGGACAGTTTTCACCGTCCCCTGGGGCTGCCTCTGAGCCGCGGGAATTTTCAGTACTTAACCCTTCGAGATCTCTCATCCCACGACCAGGAGAGGGAAGAGGGGAAGGTAGGAAGGGAGGAAGCAGCCGTCCCCAAAGGACCCCTACCAATCTAGAAAGGGGTCAAACCAAGTTGAGCATACTCTATTGAGATGCAATGAATGAATGAATGAATATATAAAAAAAACAACAACACCAGCCCCAAGCCAGGCATCACCACTTTGGTAAATTAAGAATGAAAACAGTGGTACTCCTGTGCTTACATTGGTAGGGAAGGGTTGTAAAATGACTCCATCGTCATGCCGAGCTGTGTCAACTCGGTGGGGGTACTGCCTTGGAGTAGAGCCCGTCTCATACATGGACCTGGCGCGGCCTCCGCGAGGTTGCTGTCGACCAAAGAGGCCCTGGGGTTGTTGCTGTCCGCTGGGGGTTTGCCATCGCAGTGTTGTGTTTTCAGTCTGCAGGGAATTCAGCTGTAGAGAACAAAAACATCTTTCAATTTGACTCTTAACTGTGAGCTGATCTCCACACAAAAGCCGGGCGCGGCACCAATAATAGAGTAGATTACAGCTAGGCCTCCAGGTGGGAAGCTATTCGGATAAGGTTCAACTTATCTTCATCTCTGTTTTGTTCTTGTTTCTGCTCAAGGTCCTTCAAACAACAAAAGGCTTGCTTCCTTGACAAATGAAATGCTGACAATGTATGTTGAAAAAAACAAACAAACAAGAAAAAACAAAAAAACAAAAAAACACCACAGATCTTGAAGTGCAACACCCCCTGATAAAGTGCCACACAGGGGGTTGCCCTTATTTACACAAACAGTGCTTACACTCTGAAAAAACAACAGCTTCAAGAAACAAAAAGTAGGTATTACTATGCAAAAGTAAGCACATCAAGTCAATATTTAAAACTATGAGACATACCCAAGGTAAAGTTGAGAGGCATCAATAAAATAAACCTGGGATTCTGATGAAGCACAAGGGGTACAGACCGCACAAAAACTGGGTTGTCTACAATTTTGTCCTTTGCTTTAGTTTATGTTTCTGAGTGCAACAATGACTGATGTAACATATAACACAAATTACATTAGAAAATGCAGTTATAGAGAAACAGTTTTTCCCTATTATCATCAGTATTGTAAGAACTTGAATGTATATATTTTCTCTAACAACAACAACAACAAAAAAAAAAAAAAAAGCCTTTGTTGACTGATTTTGTTGCACTTCAGTCTCTACATCCACAGGCTTTTTGTTCGACTCTGCTACTTTTCTACCAGAGAGAAGGGAAGGGAATAGTAAACACGATTATTTCCCAAAAGCACGTAGAACTGTAAAAATGTGCATGTTTCCCCACCGGGGAAAAGAGGGACTTTCAAAATACCAAGATATGAGGAAGTGAGTGATGTGGCATGCCTGAAATAAATAGTATAAATTAGACAGTTGTGGGTTGTGGGTCTACAAGTCAGGAACCTAACTTGCTGACATTTGTGTAATGGAAAAAGCTAACTCCAGTTATTTTTCTGCATTTAGGTGGTTCCTAAATAATCATTGCAGATTTATGCTATGGAGCAAAATGTCCTCTGTGGGTTGCCTTTTAAGATCTGACATAGGATTTGAGTTTACATCACAAACATCTATAACATAAAATACTGCTTTGCAATTTGAAATCTGCTATCCTTGTCACAGGAATCTTAATGCATCCAGACACATTGTAGCCATTTTCTCTGTTCACAAAAAAACAACAGCATGACTTCCTTAAATGATTTTCAGTTACATCTAACTGCTTATTAACACAAAATATCTAATCAGCCAGCCTAACAGGAAGTCAACATTAACTCAAAGAACCACTTATTATAACCAGCGTGTGCAGAAGAAGAACAACAGGTGGAATCTTGAAGCAGATGGGCTACAGCAGCAGAAGACCACACCATACATAACTCCTGTGAGCTTAGAGCAGGTAACTTGCACAGGCTCACCTAAACTGGACAAGAGAAAATTGACCTGTGACCTGTGATGAGTCTCAATTTCTGCTGTGACATTTGGATGATAGGGTCAGAATTTGGTATGAACGATTCGAAGAACAACTGTTCAGGCAGGTGGTGGTGGTGGTGAAATGTTGTGGGAGCTATTTTCTCTGCACACTTCGGACCCTTTAGTACCAAATGACCATCATTTAAACACCATAGCTACCTGAGTATCGTTGTTAACCATGTCCATGACTTTATGACCACGGTGTACCCATGTTCTGATGGCTGCTATGATAACATGCCAAGTCACAAAGCTCAAATTTACAAAATTTACAGTTACCTCAGTCTTGAAGACAAAATAAAAAAACAAAACAAAAAAACCCAGCATTTCTTTTGTTTTTCATTTTGAATAATGTATGATTCTATCTATACATACACACACACACACAAACCATTTAAGACTGTGTAGAGTTAAGAAAGCATTTTAGGGTAAAGACAGTGATACATCTCATCTATAAACCCTGAGTTGGGTTATACTAACATTACATGTTAAACACAATTTCAGGATGTTATGTTTAAATAGCAACATTATTATGCAATTTATAACCAGAACAAGAAACACCAGAGACAATGTGATACATAAAGTGACCTCGACTTTTGCGTCTTAACTAACCTTGCTCTGCATCAAACGTAGCTCTTCACTAAGGTGACAGTTGACTTTCAGAAGCTGTTGTATTTTGGCTTCTGATGCAGTGAGGGCGCTCTTCACCTCCATAAATTCTTGCACTGTGATTGGTCCATCAGACAGATCAGAAGACTCTGAGCTCTGCAGTGAAACATGCATACGGACATAAGATGGGATTCATTTGATCTGTATTACAAGTAAAGCCTACAGTAAGCAATGGAATAACAGGCTTCAAGAGACATTAACCTTGGTCCTTCCATCATTGCAGCTGTCTCCACATGTTGCCTCTTGGACCGGATCTTCATCTGATGCCACACTGTCGTAATCTGGCTGGTCATTATCTTGGCCCTCACTGTTGTGGTGACCGTCTATTCCCTGAAGGATCAGCTCCACATTATCTGAAAGCAGAGACAAAGATCAAAGGACTAGGGATCAAACAGCAGTGCTGGCTACGGGCAGCTGTTTCAATCCCTTTTTATTGATTGAATCTAACACCCAGCATTCTTTATAGTGACCTCCTACAATTTTTCTTGGTTGTCTGTGAGTTGCAGCATGCAGGACATTATTAAGCCCCTTTTCACACATGGTTGAAACTTTAATTGTTGCCTGTGTACCGTAGCGTTGTCTATATTTCGCTCCACATTGAACTACAAAGAAAACACTTTCTGCATCTTATTATAGGCCAACAAATTTAGGTTCCCCCCCACTGCTTGCGGTTTTTGAAAATGTTCTTCTGTTCATATGCTAAGCAGGACATTTACAAACTTAATATAGCCCAAAAAACAAAAGCAGATTAGCAGGGGAATTTAACATGTGCTACAAGTGGAAAATAATCATGTCCTACCTTTGGGACTTTCACAGGAATTACCCCACTGCCGTCGCTTAGCATCTGTTAGAATATCGATGACCAGTGTGGCAAATTCGTGAGCACTAAACCTTGCCAATTTCTGACGACCCTGAGAAAGCAAATAGATTAAAACCAAACCAATTACCAAATCTACTAGTCGCACACAAAGAAGTGAAGTTATAACATGAGGACATAAGGTGACAGCACTTGCCTGGTTTCTGGTAGATGAGTACTCAGGATTGACAGGCAGAAAAGGCACAACTGTGGTGTCTGTTACCAGCGTGCTGTGGTTCTGAGTGGCCAGCCACACTGAAAAAAGCAAGACGCACATAATGTTTAAATAAAATGTAAAAGAGGTTTATAGACGGTGTGATTTTTAAAAAATTATTTTTTTTAAAACAGTTCTTGTAATTCAACCTGCATCCGTTTCTCTTCTGTCGACTTCATCATAAACATCCATGGCCAGCTCTTCAAACTGATGGTTGCTTAGCTACGGCAAAGTAAGCAGAATTAGCACTTCTGTTTCCTAAAGAATAAACAGCAGATGAAGAAGAGGCTACACTGTAAATGTCACGGGAAACAAATCCCATGTAAAAACGTCTTACCGACTGCAGCTTCTTCTTTGCAGCTTTTGCAAACTCTGACAAATCCAGGCTGCTTTAAATGGAGAAATTAACAAAGTTTATTTATCCTGCAGGAAACGGCTCCACACTCACAAGAACAGTGGCTCGTGGCAAAAATGAGAAACTTACTTATTTCTTATCCATCCAATGCAGCACAAGAAAATAAGATGGTTAACGTATATCAACGGAAACTCACATTAACTCATTACCAGATCAAGTTTTTCAAATTAAAAGCTTTAACATTTACCTGTCTGCCATCTGAGGAATGATGAAGTGTTGCCCATTTCTGTGATCTGTAGCACAACAATGAAGAGATAACGTTTCAAATATTTTCACAATCAAAAGTTCTTGGGGTTTTTTTGGCAGGGACTGACCCACTAGTGTGGTGAGGATAGCACAAAGTTGGAAGTGGTGATTTATAAAGTTGGTGATATGTATGTAATCTGTTTTATTTTTTAAATCATATATGATTTAATCTTATTGTCATTTGTTTTATCTTTCCAATTTTGTATCGAGTACTTAAATATTAAGTACTGTGTTTGCACAAAATATTTTAAATATAGGACTCCAGAAAACACTTTTTTTTTCAGTTATTTTTTAACAGTTTGTGTTGTTGAACGCATTTTTTTGCATAAAAATGATTGAAAGCCATTTTAAAGCTATTGAATACATTCCTCTAATGCAAAGCTGCAGCTGTGGTTGACTGATTTACTGCATTTACCTGGTCTTCGTCCACAAAGGTAAAATGTTAGCCGGTCAGTGAGTTCATACTGGATCTCCACTAGTCTCTCTGCCAGCTCCTGATGCCCAGCTTGTCTGCAGAGGTACGGAACAAAAAGGTCAAGTTTCAGAAATATGCTAAAGAACTACAGCTAAAAATATCTCAGGTACCTTACAATGCCTTACAATGTCAGCATCATATTTTAAATAATGTACTCCCATACTATTCCACTATTTGGAGTGATTTTCAAAATAATTTTGTTTCACAACAAAAAAAATATTTATTACAGCACTACAACATTCAATTTGATGAAAACCATCACAAATAACAGGTTCTGCTTGTTGGTTTCTGCAGGCTGTGGGGACGGGTTCAGTAAAAGCTCAATAAGGAGCGTTACCTTAAACTGAGTGAGTTACCAGAGTAACAGACTCTCTGAAAGTAACTTGCTCATTGGCAGGCTTTCCTCAACAAACTGAGATTTTCTGTGACTTTTCACCTCCCACGCTTGAACCAGCAGTCAGACACACTATTTAATTTCCTCATTCATACAGACAATATCAAACCACATAGCAGAGCACATTAAGTCTTATCATCTCATCTATGCGTTATCTTGTCTTTTTACACTATGTAAACGTAACTGTTATGCTAATCAGTCATCAGTGTAATAGTAGAGTCATTGATAAATCTCCTTCAACTAAAACCTGTAAGCTCTTTGACAGCCATCAGATTGTCTGCCAGTTAGTCTGCACTGAACTGTGATTACTACAGTGTTACTGTAGTAATCATTGATCAGGGAATAACAACAACATGTTGTAATCTGTTAAACTAATGTAAAAATGCCTCACACCACACTATTATGTTGGAGTTAGTGTGAGTATTTCTGAGTGAAGATGAGTCTTAAAAAGTGAGATTTTCTCAATATGTGCTGACTGCATTCCATTTTAATGCACCCTGACACTTTTAATCTTGCTGAGGACCATTTGTAAATAGAAGTCTAAAACCTTCCAGTATCTTTTGCACTGCAAATGACTAAAGTCCCCTTTAAGTCCCAACTTAAATGACCCTGTCTTTTATGGAAGCCTCTTTCTGCCACTTTTTTTTTTGCCGTCTGAAAGTCAAAATTACAGGTTATTATTTGATAGCTTCAAGTTAATAAATAATAATAAATTTTATTTTTTATTCCTATTTATTCTATTTATCCCCTTTGTATATTTTATTTATATTTGTCTCTGTATGTATGTATGTATGTATGTATGTATGTATGTATATATGTATATATGTATATATATATATATGTATATATATATATATATATATATATATATATAAAACAATTCTGTAACTGTAACTTCGGTCGTTGCTGTGCTTTTTTTGGAAATCGAATTTCCCAGAGGAACCCACCCGAGGGATTAATAAAGTTCTATCTTATCTTATCTCTTAAATCCTAAATATTTTTTTCCCCAGTGGTGGAAACAAGCTTCCATAGTCTTATCTGTTGTCTTCGCTTTCAGTTTACACATCAATAATTATATTTAAAAATCAAATGTAGATTTTGGTTAGATTCCAGTTTGATCTGGCTGAGGAAATGATAACAGAGTGGATGAGACTGAAGACAAATATCAAGGTCCACACGGACAAGTTTTTTTTTTTTTACTTGAGCTCAATTGAAACTTACTATAAACTAACCAAGCTGAGTCATCAGCTCCCTGCACAACTGAATTCCTCCTTTCTCTTCTGCCTTGCTCGTTTCATTGAATTAGTCAAACTCGGACATAAAGCCACTTTTTGTCTAACATTGTAAAAGGCATGTTAAATATTTTAGCCAGTTCAGCGGGTGACAATATTTCCCCCTCCCCTCCATTTCCAGCTTAGCTGTTTTTGTCCTTTTCTGCTGTGTATTGCTGGCTACTTCCTGTCACTTGCTGTTTTTAGTATCCGGCTAACATTTCCACAAGATACAACATGTAAAGCAAGAGCACAGCTATTTTTTTTTCCTGTGTATTTTTACATCTGCATCTTGTGCATCATTTCCTGTATCACAGCCACTAATGAGCTGGACTGCATCTCTTAAGGTGATGCTTGCAGCTGCACTACCATTGCACATAGGAATTCCAACTTTACAGCGTCAAATACTGTTTCGCAGCTTGCTGCGTTTTCTATACAAGACATATGCCTGAAGTCATTTTCCCAACATACAGAAAATGAACAAGGCTCCTGAATTCGCTTGACTACAATATATGATCCACTTAAATGCGTGAAAGCAGAATGCCACTTAAAAGTGAAACTTCTAAATTTATCTTGTGGTATTAACATCATCAAGTGTCAATATAACATTTCGACTGCTCTCACCTAAAAAAAACAAACAAAACAAAACCCCAAACCTTTTATCAGAACATTTGAAGGTGTTAAAATAAAAATACAGGCTATACATTACCTTGCATAATCAATGGGGGTCTTCCCACTCGAGTCCAGCGCTCCAGGATCAGCTCCATAAACTGCCAATAGCTCCGCTTGTAATATTTGACCTGCTTTTGCTGCTATGTGTAGTGGGGTGTTTCCCTTCTCCTAAAATTTGAAGGGGAAAAAAAACAGTGGTTAATCATTAGTATTATCACGCCCACTTCCAAATCAACTTTCTGCTTATTCCCCCAAACTTACTGGATGAAAGAAGTTAGCCTGAGCTCCTAAAGATAAGAGTCTAAGGCAGGTCTCCAGGTTCCCAGTACGGACACTGGAATGAAGTTGCTGAAAGACATTTAACAAGAACCTTGTTTAAAATCCGTTACAGCTGATTATGAAGACACTGTGTCGGCTTTAGGCCTTCTTATAACTTTGGTGACAGGTTATTTCTTTTTAATGCAGTACTCTGTTGAGATATACATATACACATAACGACCAGCCGCATTGCCATACAAGGTGCCTCCACGACAGCACAACAGTCCCTGCACACTATAAAAAATTTCAGGAACAGCCCAAGGACAGCAGCAACCCAAGACATTTAACGAACGCCATTCTACAAAGAAAGTTCAACACAGCCAGACTTTTTTTGGCTGAGCGTCTGAAAAACCATTCAAACCCCAGTTGAAGATAACGGCTATCACAGTGGTGGTTACCAGCTTCCTCTTTTAAGCAGAGTGTCTGCTTCAGGTTCTGTTCACGGTCACATAAAAAGTGGCTTTTAAAGGTCATATAAAAAGGGTAATTAAAAGTCTATAAAGGACATAAAAACTGCAAAAGTAAAATGCAACACTATTGCAAATTAATGCAGGAAAAAAAGTATTAATCTAGCAATTTAGTACAGAGTGACAATATAAACATTTTAATTCAATTTAATGTTTTGTTTTTTTATTGCCGAGTACGCTCTGTGCTTTAATCTGGATACATTTTAACAAGAAATCTTACCATCCCACAGCCTAGTAAAGGCGACATGGACAAGTGAAATTTATTTTATCAACTGAACAGGTGTTCTTGGTGTGTGTTCTGTGTTCTAGTTGCTGAATTCCCGCAGATTACAATCAAGTAGAACAACATTAAAACATTTTCTGCATCAACAAAGCAATACATGCACATTCCCAGGACAATGTGACGCACAGTCAGAGTTAGCACTTCATTCAGTAAGTTATGGCTTAACAAGCTGCACATATAAAAAGTATGCCACCAGCACAGAATCTACATAAGACTTAAAACATACTGTAAATAAAAGAATCACTGAAAATGTGGCACTTTCAGATGATTTTAAATTAAGACTCAGAACATACCTTGTTCCCGACCAGGTTAGGTGTTCAGCATAAGTTACCATGGTTAATAATCCAGGTAAAAAACATGGACACAGAAAACTCTGATTTTAATCACATAGTCCCCTAAGCCATTAATGTTGCTTTATAGTCCACTCATTTGCCTTCTGCCTGCCATTCCCCAGAACCTAATCCAATCAATCATCCACAGGATGCACTAGAATAGGTTTGACCTACACAGACCCCACCCGACAATCCCTCACAATCCACAGGAGGACAACTTCCTCCACAGGATACCCCCATGTCCATGCCCTGTTTGGTGACATTGGGGAGGGGCTACGTAATATTAGTAGCCCAGGTTAAGTTTGAGGAAACTCATCACTGGATTTTGCAGGAACTGGTCAGATATCAACATTAAAATCAAACACTTGCTGTATTACAATAAAGTCTCAAAGATCCTCTTTTTTTTGAACGTCTAATAGTGTTACAAGAGGAACGTTTAAATGAAACAACAGAGTAAATTGTCACCTTGCTGAGGTCTTTTGCAGTCACACTGTCATCCTCCCGACAAGGCATCCGATGTACATACGCCAGCATCTGATATTTTGCCTTGATGAACTCTGTCTTATTAGGACTGGAAACAACAATAGACTCTCACAATCTCAAAATGTGGACATTAATTACAAGTTTTCAAGTGAGCACATCACTGTTTATCTTTGTTTATGATTAAGACAAACACTGACGAGAAGTGAACACTTAAACTGGACATTAAACAATGGACTGCAGATTTGTATGTGCAGCATTACATTAATGGCAGAGAAACGTATTGGTCATGTAAACCACCATACCGCCACAACGCTAGATTCGTCTGGCTTTCACGTAAGCCAAGAATCTTAGGGGTTCAATTTAGGTCACATTCAAACTCTGTCGTTGCTCGTTTTAATACAAAATATTTACGCAAATAGAAAAGAATAGTTATAGTAAAAATACCCTAAATTTATTAATCCCAAAAACAACGTCCAGCAATCAGAATAAATCCATATGGTGTGAATGAAGTTGAACAGAATTTAAAGCAGTTGAATTGTCTGTAATTAACCACTAAGCAGCATTGGTCCCAGCAGAATTCCCCCACAGTTCCAGTGGTTTTAAAACACCTGGAACTAAACATTTCAAACTACACCTTAAGGAACTAAATTTAGCCTGTTTCCAGTTTAAACTGCTGAGCACCCAAGATCCTTAAAATGTTTCTCGGGGAAAGTGCTTGTGGTGGAAACCTTATAAGATAGCGTCCATCTCAGAAATTGCATTTGGGAAGAAGTTATGAAAGTGCTTGCTCCAAGTGTGCGGGTCAGACACAGCACTGCTGTGATTACATGTGGCTGACTGTTTATCTTTACTCCCCAAGCTACACAGCAGACTGACATGGTGTTTATAACAGGCTTTAGTACATCAAATCTCTTTGCTTCGCAGACTTTGTTTTTGTTGTACTAGGACTTCTAAAGGATGGGAAAAACTCCTCACAAAAAGCATTACCTTTAAAGGAGGTACTCTTCTAAAATTCAGTTTCTTGCATGATCATGTAGCTGATCAGCTAGACCGCACTGCAGATATATTTATTTTCAAACGTGCTTGTCAGCTGATCAAGCAAGTTCTCCAAGTAAGTTAAGACTGACTATCTGTGAGTGACGTTCATGGTAGAGCGGGCGGATTAGGCATGTTTACTGACCTTAGCAAAGAAAATCAATTTTGTGACTACAATTTAATATCAAAGTGCAATCAAGTGTACCAAAAACCAGCAATGACATATTTTTAAAAATAAAACTTACTGCACTCTGTCCTGTGGGTTGGCTTTGCGTTTCCCACTCACTGAAGAGGAAGGATCCAGAAGACTGTGCTCCCATATGGAATTAGCTCCATTGCCATACAGTGTTTGAACCATCTGAAACAAGAAAGCACATTAACATTTTTAGAACAGGCAGAAAATACTTTGGGGATTCCTAGTCATACATGGTCCTCTTATATATTTACATATTGCATTATGGAGAACAGACTGTACTCATTTGCATCTTTGCGTTTGATTTATGGAGATCGTGTCTCCGCTTCCCCACCTGCAGCTGTGAGTGTGGCCACGGAGAATGAGTCAGATGTCGGACTTGAGAGCTGTGTCTCCCAAGACCTCGATGGATGCTGCAGCACTCATCGCAGATCAGCACACCCCTGTTAACAGAGGCCCAGCGAGGTTCTACGATACAGATACAGTGCTTTTTATCCCATGAGTCTAATATTTGATGAACAACGTAACAGACAGCCTTAACCCAGAGCAGTAACTCCCTCTAACCAGACGAAGATATTCGCTGACTTGCAGTAAGACATGACTGCTTTAGGTAAGGTGTATCCCACCCTCAAATCTTTGACATAATCAAGAAACGTTTTCACAAGCATTAACACCCACTGTGCGGCATTACTGATTATCAGCAAGTTAGCGCTGTCTTCTGAGCAGTCTTATTTAAGAAATTAAATAATACTGCCTTTAACGCACCACTAACCTTACTGTAACCCGACAACCAATACAGTCAAGCAACTAGTTCAGAATAAGACAGGTTAATGTGATTACACAGGCACGCCTTCAAAAAAAAGGGGGAAAAAAGAGGAAGAAAAAAAACACCTAACGTTTCCACAAGAAAAAATACAACCGCTACAATTAGTAATTCAGCTAATTGCTAATTGTTAGTACAGTCGCAGTAACTAGCCAAGCTAACAAGACGCTCCGATAACTTATAGTGGGGGCTAGCTGGTTAGCTGGATAGCTAACGTTACAGCTAGCTTGTCTGGCATCGTACCCGGAGCACTGCAATCAGCGCAGACCTCTCTGCTTCGCACTCGCTTTGACATCCCTTAGACGAAATCCTTCGAGTCCAGGAGAAACAAATATCTGGAAGTTACGTTGCAACACAGCTACACAGAGATATGACAGGATAGTTCGCCCGGCTGATTGTATTTTACACTTTTAGCGACTGTAGCCGTCAGCCCTCCCCTCCTACTGTTGAACAAAGCCGTGACCCATTCCAACACTCACACAGCCTCCTCCGCGCCTCATAGGCTGCTTCCTTCCTTGTTTCCTTCAGTGGCTTCTAAAGGCCCTACAGAGTGCAGAAAGCACCACCATCAGGAGACTAACGCGATAAAGGAAAATTGTCACACTGGACACAATAAAAGCCACCCTGGCCTGCCACTGAAATTAACAAAAGTGGAAATTCACTGTTCGGTATGAATAAAAATAAATACAATGTACAGTGCAGATTTGTTTAATTGATTAATTGTATTTATTTATTTACTTGCATTCTTGTCACGTATACATCTTTCAGATCATCAAGACACAAAATCCACTTTTGGTGGTGGTGGTTTTATTTAAGAGGAAAAAAATATCCAAATATAGGTGGACTTTTTTCTTCTTCTTCTTTTTTTTTTAAAGAAACCAATCAGGCACCCAGGTCTGATTACTGCCAGACCTGCTGAATCAAGAACTCAATTAATTAGAAACTGTCTGGCAAAGTAGGCTAAAAGATCTCAAAAGTAACAAATTGAGATGCTTTGGCATAACACCAAACAGGCCATTTATCCTAGAAAATCTTCAGTGTGGCTCCATTAAAGCAATTCTGCAAAGAAGAGTGAGACACAATTCCTCCTCAGTGATGTGAAAGTCTAATTACCTTTGCACATGTTTGACTGCTAGTTATTAGGTTTGGTGGCAACTGCTTTTACACATAGGGTCGGGTTGTTTTGAAAACCCTTTTCCCTTAATAAATGAAATAAGCATTTGAAAATTGGATTTTATACTGTATTTATTGAGAGAACTTTATGTCACTTTTAATTGTTTGTTTACTTCTGGCATCTCCTTTTAGATTAAACTTTTTTTTTACTCCAGTACATAGATCTGGCACCCTCAAAGCCACTACATTTTGCATATCATCAAAAAAGATTATAGAATAAAATGCATTCATTCTCTAAAACTTCAAACTAAAACATCTGTTGCAGAGGATTACATTAGAGCACAGTAAACAGAAGAGAAATGGCTTTCCTCTGCTCAGAGCCCACAGCCCACTTTATTTCAAATAGCCACAATAGGCACATCTCAACATCATTTTGAGGAAGTATAGGGCTTGGTTGAATGCTAACGAAATCACTATTGAGAGTTCTTCACCTCTTCACCTCACTGTGCAATACCGTTTGTGCAATACTTTTGTTAATAGTCAATGGTACAATAGACCTCAATACTTGAAATGTGCAATTCACTTGTATTTTTATTTTATTCCTATTTATTCTATTTATCCCCTTCGTATATTTTATTTATATATGTCTCTGTATTTATATGTGTGTGTGTGTGTGTGTGTGTGTGTATATATATATAATATTCTGTAACTGTAACTTCTGTCGGTGCTGTGCTTTTGGAAACCGAATTTCCCAGAGGAACCCACCCGAGGGATTAACAAAGTTTTATCTTATCTTATCTCTTATCTTATCTTCTTCAACCTGACACAAGGAATGGACATCAGACCAGCTAGAATCTGTGCTTTGTCCTGATGAGTCCAAATGTGACATTGTATGTATACTGTGCTGTTCTGTTCTTGTGCTGCCTAAGATGTTTCCAAATCAGAAGCAGTACATGGCTGCTTGGTTTGTGTTTTTTTTTGTTGTTTTTTTTGCCTGTCCCATTTGGTTCTTTAGCCGTCAGAATTGCGCACAATGTGCTTTGAAGTAGCAGCCAAGAAAGGTGTAATTTACGATCTACGAACAGTGAACACCCGTGTGCACACCTGTGTGGATCAGCGCACTTGTATTCAAATGGTTTCCCCATGTAATGGTCTGCAAGAGGATGTAGAGAGCCATAGCCCTGTCCCCCAGGGCATGAAGCAGGCATGGAGGAGATCCAGGCCCCAGACATCCAGAGGCTCCAGAGTGCGAGAGCCCAAGGAGGACCACCGGAGGGGCATCCGTGCCACCCTCATGGGAAGGGCTGAGGATCCCCAGACGAGGGGTCACCCAGTAGCCACCGAGCAGAAGCTAGAGGGGGCTGCACCGGCGTGCCCGCCGGCTCTGCCGGCAGCCAGCTGTGCCAGAGTGAGCCGAGCCGCAGGCGCAGAGGCCGGAGGCCCAAGGGCCCCCGCGCCCCGGAAGAGGCCTGACCGAGCAACAGGCACCAGGCCCCGCCAATTAGCCACCGGGAGTAAGCTGGTACATGCCTGAGTGCCCAGCCCCGGACACCAAGAACCACCAATGCACCGACCCCTGAGGGCATCAGTCACCGGCAGGGAGTGTGGTGAGGGGAGATAGGCCTCCACACTTTGGAGGGCCTGGGAGTTCCCAGAGAGGTGGAGTCTAAGACCCGACCTGACATATAGACACAGACAAACAGGCACACGCAGACACAAACATGCATTCCCACCCTCATGCACACATATACAAACACTCAGCACTCACCCAACGTAAGGATTGACATAAATGGACATGTACACATAATCACACTCCCCAAACATATTCTATACCCCGGGTCCAGGTACCCTCGCCCCCAGAGGGGGAAACGGCACTCAGACCCAAGAGATGTTACCCTTCCCCCGGGGTGGAGGCAAGCACACCGTCCCAGGCTCCACAGCAGCAGGGAGGCCAATCGGACAGCCAACATCTCCTCCTAGCCCCCCCGCCCCGATGGCTAGTAGAGAACGGGGGTGTGTGAAGACCCCATACCTCCCTCCTCCCGCTCATGTGTAGTGTTGCTGCGTGTTGCTCTAAAGTGCATTTAAAACAAGGGAGAGCATGGTGCTGCTGCCAGAGAGCAGCAGGTGTTAGCATGGCCCCTCCCGAGAACCCTCAATGTCTACATGGATTTAAAATTGAGAGGTGGGCACCGGCGCCAGAGGTAGGTTTGAATACACAGACCGTGCCCACCCTCAAGGCCCTATATATATGTGTGTGTTATGAGAGTGTAAGTAATGTGGATGTCTAAGTTGTGAGATAAAATTGAGGCACAGGTGGCCAGAAGGGGACGGGGGGGGGGACACGACGGGGGGGACGGGGGGGACGGATGTCTCCCCTGCACCCTGGTGACACACCTGCACCCCAAGGCCCTACCTGTGTGGGTGGGTGTGGTGGAGCGGGAAGAAGGAGGTAGCTGGGGATGGGGGTGCCTACTGGGGTCAGCTCCCCCACTGACCCCAGTAGGCACCCCCGTCCTCTGGTACCCACCAAGGCAAGGGAGCCCAGGCCCATCCAGACCAGGGCCTACGGCAGCATGCTTGGTTTGTGTTTAGTGAGATCATGGTGTTGGTGGTGTGAACAATCACATGACTTAAGCCCCTTTGAGATAGGATGAGCTAGACTACAGAGTGAAAAAAAAAAGAAGTCAGCTGGAACTCAACATATGTGAGAACTCCCAAAACTGCTGGGAAAACTCCACCTGACAGGCCAGTGGACGAATGCCAACAGTGTGCACAGCTGTTATCAAAGCAAAAGGTACAAGCACCAAGATCCAAAAGTGGCCATCCACAAGCAGCATACTTGGCCTTTTCATCTATCTATCTATCTATCTATCTATCTATCTATCTATCTATCTATCTATCTATCTATCTATCTATCTATCTATCTATCTATCTATCTATCTATCTATCTATCTATCTATCTATCTATCTATCCATCCATCCATACATACATACATACATACATACATACATACATACATACATAACTCTGGTGCTCAACCCAAAAATGCATTTACCTTTACAGTTATGACACCATTTAAGCGGACAAAGTCGGGCTTTCCATCCAAGAAATAAAAAAAACAAACAAACACAAATGTCCTTAATTTCCGTACTTTTTGTGCCATATATGTATTCTGTATTTACATTTCTGTATGTCTATATTATTCTCTAGAAAATGTTAACAACTCTGGGAGGTGTGATTTGTACTGCAAACCTAGGCAGTACAAATCACAAATCAAACGTCATCAAGAAATGATATGTAAGAACAAATAACGTTTAGCAAGTAAATATAATTAACACTGGAAACACGGTATTGCATATCATGGGATGGCACATTCTTATTGATCATTTCCTTGATCATTATGTACAATGCAAGGGGAAAGAAAAGATTGAAAAGATACATTTCCCCACAACCCATTCATTACCTGAATGAATAATAATCGGCCAATGAACATTCTAGGAAAAGTTTCTTATTGTATTTTTTTACAGATACATTTTTGACTGTGAGTGCACCTTGCATTTTTTTCCCTGGGGGGGGGGAGAGGAGACTGTCGTTGTGTACATTAAACGCACAGGGTACTGTGACTTTAAAGGGGTGGTGGTTCACGGTGAGGTAGCAGATAGGTTTGATGTAGTCGTTAAGAACACCTCGTACATCCCGGACTCACTCTCCCTGTAAAGCAGCCTTGCCTAAATCACCGTCAAGACCGTCCAGAAAGCTGTGCGTGTCAGCCGCTGCACCCTGTCAGGAGCGATGGGAGGTACCGACGCCGCTATTTCCCTCTTTCGTGAGCGCATCACCATCAATTTCCAAAACAGCATCTGATCAGCATAACTCATTATGTTTTCTCCCGTGGCAGAGGCCGAGACGCGCCAGAAACTGCTGCGCAATGTGAAGAAGGAGGTTGGTGCATTTTATTTCATTTGCGCGCATCACATTTTATGTTTACGGGCGCTATATGCTCAGTGTGTGTGTGTGTGTGTGTGTGTGTGTGTGTGTGTGTGTGTGTGTGTGTGTGTGTGTGTGTGTGTGTGTGTGTGGTTATCGTTCATCAGGGCTGACTCCACCGTAGGCCTGTTTATGATAAAACTGACGGTTTATTTTACATAATGTGATTAGACGCAATTAGGCTGCCGGTGGGGCTGTGCAGGATACCGGTCTGCTGGTGGACTGGCGTAAGATGGTGATGACGACGGTGGTGATGGTAATGATGACGATAATACTGATGATGTTGATGGTTTTATATTGTGGAAGAAACCCACCACAATCAGGAAGCCACGCACAGATTGTTTAAGCCTGTTTTCTGGCATATTCT